AATGAACAAATTGCTGAACTCATGTATCCTCATAATTTTGAATCAAGCCAAGAAGTGTAACATGCCATATTGATGAAAATTCTTTTGCCCTATCTCTTCTATTATTGTATTATGTATGCAGCATTTGTGAATGTTATCAGAAAGTGCTTATTTTTGACATGTTAATGCTTCCTTTACTTAATATGTTCATGACAGTTAAGAAATTTGGAGTAGGCAAAAGAGACTACCAAATACATTAGAACAAATAGTGAATACAGACCAGTGAGCAAATGTTGTTGTTGTGTGTTGTTGAGTTGATTCCGACTCATAGCAACCCTATAGGACAGAGTAGTACTGCCCCATAGGGTTTTCTAGGCCGAACTCTTTATGGAAGCAGATTGCCAGGTCTTTTTTCCCATGGAGCAGCTAGTGGGTTTGAACGGCTGACCTCTCGGTTAGCAGCTGAGCACTTAACCATTGCACCACCAGTGCTCTAGTGAGCAAATATGTACATTTTGTTGGAGAAATGAGTTCTATCAACTGCATCAAGAAATTTAAGAAAGGAGTTTGGCAAGCATTAAATGAACACCCATTTTAAGAGACTGTATAGCAGAATGGCGAAGTATATTGAGTTGGTGTCATTCAGACCAGAGTTCTGAATTCTGGCCCTACTACAGTGTAACCTCGTGCAATGTCTTTAACCTTCTAAAATGGTCCTCATCTCTAAAATGTGGACAATAATAGCCTTATCGCTACATTTGCTGTGCCTATTAACTTTAAAATATATATTAAAAAAAGCATGTGTACAGTGTCCCGCACAGAGTAAGCACACAATATGTGGTAGCCATTACTATTACTTAATGGCCTACATAATGCAAAGAACCTTAACCTATCCAGTAAGACACCCGTTGGAGTTTCCTACTTTTTAAAATACTTAACTAATTAAGTAATGTATTTTATGGCAAAGTGTTTGTTTCATTTCTAAATAAAAAAATTATCTAAGGATGAAAAAATTACAAATATGTAATCTTTGAAAGTGAAAAATGTTATCCTTTAATATTCATCTCTGATGTAGTTAGCATTTCAGAAATGGTAAGATTGAGTTACCTAGTGGTTAGATTATGTCAAATCAAGAACCATTTCTGTATTGCTTTCAAAATACGCAGTCATTTTTGTCTGCTTGAAAATATCCTATACATGACCCCTTTAAAAATAGGGCCATTCCCTTTACCATACAACTTGTAAGTTTGTTTATAAAATCAAGGAAATTAATTTTTAGGGGCTATCAGTCCATCTCTCTAGAAGAGAGGATCAACACAAAGTGATCGTCTATCTGTCTCCAATATCTGTCTCCAATATCTGTAGCCAATATCTTGGCTACTCCATGATTATAAATTGTCAAGTTGCCAAATATGTAATCAGACAGTATCATTACACAACAAGAAAACTGGCTGATCCTCAACAAAGAAAACTTCTAATCACTTTTTTTTGTTGTTGGTTTGCTTTTAAAATGTGTTTTGTGTGCTTACTTATTTATATCCCGCATTGTTCCAAGAAATGCTAGAGAGAACTCCCGTAAAATATGTCTTCAAGTATTTTGTCTATTTTGCAGGTTGGCTACTGGAATGATATGGATAAATTGGTCTTGATTCAAGATGTACCTACTCTTGGCAATGACACAGCAGCTATTGAAAACAGAACAGTAGTTGTAACCACAATTATGGTAAGTTTTGGTCTATGCTTTATGCTCTTCCGTTTGGTCCACAGGCATTTCTAACTCCCCAGCTCTGGTGATCAGGGAGGGTAAAAGCTGCATCTTATCAGCTGTGTCATGGGTGTTCTGATTCAGAATAAGTCTGTTGAGGCTTTGAATAAGTGTGTCCTGAGCTTTGAGTACATCCAGTACTTTTATTCATATTACCATTTGTTGCATTATTGTTCTTGGAAAAATGCTCAGAAGTTAAAGATGGAGACTGTCAAACTCTAGTTGGAAATGTATGAAAATGCTAAGACCCCAAAAGACAAAAGAATGAACCTCAACAACCAATCACATACAAATCTTTAGTAGCAAATACCATATTATCACTGTTATTATGTTATTTAAAACATCAATGTACTAATACCTAATAATGTTTAAATTATAATTTTCAGGTAGTTTAATCATCAGTAGTGATTTGCATTGTCTGTTTATAACAGTGGAGATATGAATGTGAAGATTTTAATGATCATGTTTTATATCACTGAATGCTTTATAAATTAATTTTGTTTTATTATTATTTTTTAAGGTGAAAGGGTTCTTTGCACCGATTATTTTTCTCATTGGCCATAGACAAATGCACAATAGTATTTACTGGATTTCTCCTAAATATCAAGAAAAATATGATTGCTTCATTCAGTCATATCGTAAAATGAAAACTACTCTAAATTTTAAGACTGCTTTTTCAAAGAGGTTCTCATGAAATTACCTTTTAAATAATGGAATATTTTATACATTTTTCTCTTCCAAAGTCAAACATGCCCTTTAGAGTCAATGCTAGCCAAAGGAGATCAACAATCGGTGACCTTTTCTATCTAATTTAAAGTTCTATTTCCTCAGTTCACTGTCTCATCAGGCAGAATTTATTTTTAATTATTTATGGAAGCACTACTCTAAATAAAGCATTTTATGTGATTT